ACACACACACACACACACACACACACACACACACACACACACACACACACACACACTGTCAATTCCGTGATTTATTTGGTCTGGGTTCAGAAGAGTCCTGAAATTGCATCAGTGCCCAGGTTAACTAGGGTAGCCAACTTCCTGATTGCAGAAAAACGAACACTCTTGCCCTGCCCCTTCTCCAAGGCCCCGCCCCGCTCATTCCAACCCCGCTTCCTGCCTCACTCACTCTCGCCCACCCTCACCCATTTTCGCCAGGCTGGGGCAGGGGTTTGGGGTGAGGGTGAGGGCTCTGGCTGGGGGTGCAGGCCCTGGGGTAAGGCCGGGGATGAGGAGTTTGGGGTGTGGGAGGGGACTCAGGGCAGGGATTGGGGGGATTGGGGTGCAGGGGGGACGAGGGCTCCGGCTGGGGGTGAGGGATCTGGTGTGGGGCCGGGGATGAGGGGTTTGGGGTGCAGGAGGGGGCTCTGGGCTGGGACCGAGGGGTTAGGAGTGTGGGAGGGGGCTGAGGGCTGGGCCAGGGAGTTGGGGTGTGGGCTCCGGGAGGGGGTTTGGATGCAGGAGGGGGTTCAGAGATGGGGCAGGGGGTGAGGGCTCCAGCTAGGGGTGCAGGCTCTGAGGTGGGCCTGGGAATGAGGGGTTTGGGGTGCAGGAGAGTGCTCCAGGCTGGATCATGGGGTTGGGGTATGGGAAGGGGTGTGGGCTCTGGGAAGGAGTTTGGGAGGGGGCTCAGGGCTGGGGTTGGTGTGTGGGAGGGGGCTCGGGGTGCAGGCTCCGGTCGGGTGGTACTTACCTCAGGTGGCTTCCGGAAGCAGCCAGCATGTCCAGCTCGTAAGCGAAGGGGCCAGGGGGCTCTGCACGCTGCCCACGCCTGCAAGCACTGCCCCTGCAGCTCCCATTGGCCGCGGTTCCTGACCAATGGGAGCTGCAGAGTCGGCGCTCAGGGTAGGGGCAGCGCCCAGAGTCTCTCTGATCGCCCCTGCACCTAAGGGCCCCAGGGACATGCTGGCCGCTTCCAGGAGCCGCATGGAGCCAGGGCAGGCAGGGAGCCTGCCTTAGCCCTGCTGCGCCGCTGATAAGACTTTTAACAGCCCAGTCAGTGGTGCTGACCAGAGCTGTCAGGGTCCCTTTTCGACTGGGCGTTACGGTCAAAAACTGGACACCTGGCAACCCTAAGGTTAACCTGCATAATTCTGTAATACGATGCTGCGAAACCACCAGCTTTAGTTTAGCACTACAGCTTTCATACCTCTTCTCCTTAACACAATGGAAATTCTATGCTGTGGTCACAGAGCTCAATTGCTTATTGTATTTCAGCCAACCATCCATTTTTAAATTTCATATCCTCCCCTTTCTTTGTGATTTACTCTCTGAATTATTTAATGGACCATTCAATTTTGGAACCAAATGATACTATTTTTCACAGTGATCCTCAAACTCTGTTTAAAATGTGAAGAAAAACTGTTCCCCACCCATGTCAGTGCAATTCTATTGAATAATATAGGTAATGAGGATTAGTTTGTTGCTGCAGAAACTCACTGTGCAATGGAGGTTTTATTGTATTATCTTTTTCTTATTAATTACATTACATTGACAATAAGACTTCTTAGGAAATGTGTCAGATTTTGCAATGGGAATCCACCATTCCTAATTACTCTCTTTTGATAAATAATCTGATAGGAAAGGCCATGTTCCACCTATTCATCAGTATGTGTATCTAATACAATGTGATTCTTAAAAAAGATTAATTGTAGTGCCCTACAAATATATTAATGACCTATTAAAGTATATACTAGATAATTATTGCTGATGTGTTTCTTTTTGTAAATTTAATCAAGCAATTTTAAATGCTCTGGTGTGGAAAAATTCATTATAAAAAGACATGAGGGAATTAGAAAGTGAGGGAATGGGAATGTGTTACATTTTAAACAAAATACTGTTAAAAGCTTTAAAAGACATACCGCCTTATGTAGCCAGAAGCTAATATCTGGGTGTTTATGGTTTCCAACAGTGATAAAACTATTGCATTATTTTCACCAGTGCATCAGATTCCAATTTGGGCCTGTTATCCAAAGCTCCATGCCAATTATTTCAGCCTTTGGTCTGAGCCTAGTTAGAGGAAATGCTGTGGTCTGAACTTTACTTTACACATGACTATGTTATGTCTTAGTTATTGGATTTATTTGTTATTTAAAAAAAAGTTCTTTCAGTCATAATTATAGAAAAGATTATATATTTCACCCATAATTAGCAGATTTTTATATGTATTTTTCTTCTTTTTGTAGTGACCTTCTGTTAAATTAAGTAGTGGGTAATAAAGGAAATACTAAAGCATAGTGAAGGGAAGCCTCCATCTTAAGGGATGTATACCCAAAATTTCCAATACTGTTTTGTGTTACTTGTAGTTTAAAAAAAGAACAGGAGTACTTGTGGCACCTTAGAGACTAACAAATTTATTTGAGCATAAGCTTTCGTGGGCTACAGCCCACTTCATCAGATGTATAGAATGGAACATATAGGAAGAAGATACATATACATACAGAGAACATGGTAAAGTGGAAGTAGCCATCCCAACTGTAAGAGGCTAATTAATTAAGATGAGCTATTATCAGCAGGAGGAAAAAAAACTTTTGTAGTCATAATCAAGATGGCCCATTTTAGACAGTTGACAAGAAGGTGTGAGGATACTTAACATGGGGAAATAGATTCAATATGTGTAATGACCCAGCCACTCCCAGTCTCTATTCAAACCCAAGTTAATGGTATCTAGTTTGCATATTAATTCAAGCTCAGCCGTTTCTCGTTGGAGTCTGTTTTTGAAGCTTTTCTGTTGCAAAATTGCCACCTTTACGTCTGTTACTGAGTGACCAGAGAGGTTGAAGTGTTCTCCTACTGGTTTTTGAATGTTATGATTCCTGATGTCAGATTTGTGTCCATTTATTCTTTTGCATAGAGACTGTCTGGTTTGGCCAATGTACATGGCAGAAGGGCATTGCTGGCACATGATGGCATGTATCACATTGGTAGATGTGCAGGTGAACGAGCCCCTGATGGCGTGGCTAATATGATTAGGTCCTATGATGGTGTCATTTGAATAAATATGTGGACAGAGTTGGCATCGGGCTTTGTTGCAGGGATAGGTTCCTGGGTTAGTGTTTTTGTTGTGTGGTGTGTGGTTGCTGGTGAATATTTGCTTCAGGTTTGGGGGCTGTCTGTAAGTGAGGACTGGTCTGTCTCCCAAGATCTGTGAGAGTGAGGGATCATCTTTCAGGATAGGTTGTAGATCTTCGATGATGCGCTGGAGAGGTTTTAGTTGGGGGCTGAAGGTGGCGGCTAGTGGTGTTCTGTTATTTTCTTTGTTGGGCCTGTCCTGTAGTAGGTGACTTCTGGGTACTCTTCTGGCTCTGTCAATCTGTTTTTTCACTTCAGCAGGTGGGTATTGTAGTTTTAAGAATGCTTGATAGAGATCTTGTAGGTGTTTGTTTCTGTCTGAGGGATTGGAGCAAATACGATTATATCTTAGAGGTTGGCTGTAGACAGTGGATCGTGTAGTGTGTCCTGGAGGCATGTAGGTAAGTATAGCAGTCAGTAGGTTTCCAGTAGAGGGGGGTGGTTATGTGACCATCACTTATTAGCACAGTAGTGTCCAGGAAATGGACCACTTGTGTGGATTGGTCTAGGCTGAGGTTGATGGTGGGATGGAAATTGTTGAAATCATGGTGGAATTCCTCAAGGGCTTCTTTTCCATGGCGCAAGAAGAGTAGGGGCGTTAGGGGACGAGAGCTAAGGAAGCGTTGTTCTAAGTCAGCCATAAAAATGTTGGCATACTGTGAGGCCATGCGGGTACCCATAGCAGTGCCGCTGACTTGAATGTATATATTGTCCCCAAATGTGAAATAGTTGTGGATGAGGACAAAGTCACAAAGTTCAGCCACTAGGTTTGCCGTGACATTATTGGGGATACTGTTCCTGATAGCTTGTAGTCCATCTTTGTGTGGAATGTTAGTGTAGAGGGCTTCTACATCCATAGTGGCCAGGATGGTGTTTTCTGGAAGATCACCGATGGATTGTACTTTCCTCAGGAAGTCAGTGGTGTCTCGAAGATAGCTGGGAGTACTGGTAGCTTAGGGCCTGAGGAGAGAGTCCACATAGCCAGACAATCCTGCTGTTAGGGTGCCTGAGATGATGGGGCGTCCAGGATTTCCAGGTTTATGGATCTTGGGTAGCAAATAAAATACTGCTGTTCAGGGTTCTAGGCATGTGTCTGTACAGATCTGTTCCTGTGCTTTTTCAGGGAATTTCTTGAGCAGATGGAGTAGTTTCTTTTGGTAATTCTCAGTGGGATCAGAGGATAACGGCCTGTAGAATGTGGAGCTAGATAGCTGCCTAGCAGCCTCTTGTTCATATTCCAACTTATTCATGATGACGACAGCACCTCCTTTGTCAGCCTTTTTGATTATGATGTCAGAGTTGTTCCTGAGGCGGCTGATGGCATCGTGTTCAGCACGGCTGAGGTTATGGGGCAAGTGATGCTGCTTTTCCACAATTTCAGCCCGTGCACGTCGGCGGAAGCAATGTATGTAGAAGTCCAGTCTGTTGTTTCGACCTTCAGGAGGAGTCCCTGCAGAATCCTTCTTTTTGTAGTGTTGGTAGAAAGGATTCTGTGGGCTATCTCCACCAGGCAACTGTTTAGAGATCATTTTAAGACACACTTCACTGTACTTCTAATCCTTAGATGACCCAGTGTTTAAGTACTTAATTTAAAATTCCCACTCTTTTTCCCTCCATCATATTTGCAGTCTCTAACACTTGAATGACTAGACGATGCACTTTGCAAGTATAAGCGGCATAAGAGTTTGCAGATCTGCCAGCTATTTTTATATGCTCCTGTTCAACTCTTTCTTTCCAATGAGCTTCAGCATCCATTATTAACTTAAGATTGTCCTGTCCATTTGTATTAAAACTTGGATCACAAAGCATTAAAACGCCTAGTTACTTTCCTAGAAAAATGGATTTGCTTGTCAGTCCTTTGATATATTTCATTGTGTTTCCTCATTAGGAACTGAGAGAAAGCTACAACACACAGCACTTAGCCCTTGAGCAACTTCAGAGGATCAAACAAGAGAAAATAAGAGCTGTAGAAAGAAAAAGAGCTGAGCTTGCACAGAAAAAGCGACTGGAGGATGAGGCTGCAAGGTAATGTGGTTGAAAAGCATAAAACACCGATACTGTATGCCTTTGTGATGTTTACACTGGATTACGATAATGAGCTTTATGTGAGGCTACAGCTGGTGCAAAATGTGTCTGCCCACCTGTTCAGAGGCTTACATGTAGGGGGAGCATATTCATACCAAATACTCTACTCACTCTTCACTGGGGTTATGCTGGTATAACTGTTGTCAGTGAATTTATACTCATGTAGATGAGACTAGAATGAGGCCAGTGGAGGACTGTTTTCCAGGAACTGCACTGGCTTCCTGTTTACTACAATTTAAGGTTTGGACTTTGGCACCAGATTTTCAAAAGAGCTGAGGCACTGAGTGCATGTGAAAATTTAGCTGCCTAAATGGGACCTGAGATCGTCTGAAAATCTGGCCTCAATTGTGGATGCTGAGCACTTTTGATAATCTAACCCTGTATGAGTACAGCCCCGTGTGGTTTAGTTACTGGTTGGCTGACAGATTGCTGACACCCTTCGTTTCCCCCCCCCCCCAAAAAAAAACGTGTGTGGGGGGAGAGTATCATTGGAGCTAAGTTATTGGCTGAGACACTTCAAGATAATAGCAAAAACAGCGAGGAGTACTTGTGGCACCTTAGAGACTAACAAATTTATTTGGGCATAAGCTTTCGTGGGCTAACCCCCACTTCATCAGATGCATGGAGTGGAAAATACAGTAGACAGGTATATATACACAGTACATGAAAAGATGGGAGTTGCCTTACCAAGTGGGGAGTCACTGCTAACGAGACAATTCAATTAAAGTTGAAGTGGGCTATTTTCAACAGTAGAATACCAAGGGAGGAAAAATCACTTTTGTAGTGGTAATGAGGGCAATGTAATCAGTGTGGCCCATTTCAAACAGTTGACAAGAAGGTGTGAGTAACAGTAGTATGGGGAAATTAGTTTCTGTAGTGACCCATCCATGCCCAGTCTTTATTCAGGCCTAATTTGATGGTGTCAAGATAATAGTCCCTGATTTAAATGGAGATAAGACTGAGCCAAACCTGGCCATTTTCAGTGAATACTGCCAGATTCCCAGATACTACACTGAAGACTGTGGACTGAAGAGAATATAAATGCTGCAATAAATTCCCACAATAACTGAAGACCAGGAATTACAACAACAAAAAGTAATAAGCAAAATTTGCCAAATCAGGTATTGGTAAAGACCAAAGTCTTTTATGGCCATCTCTGAACAACTTTTCATTTTTCATATGTGGGATTTGGATATTGAAATGATGGGCACCCGAGAAATACCATTGATAGATTAATGCTCCATTTTCTGCTTTGCCTTTGCACATCAAGTTGAGCAGCTTTGGTCGTGGAGGCACTGAAGAAGTAGCTCTCAGGCATGAAAGGTCAAGGAACAGTGTTTTCAGACCATAAGTCTTTCTTATTTGTATTTTATTAGTGCCTAAAATATGCTGGATTGTATGCACGTGTGAGAAGACATGGTACCTATCCCAGGAGTTTTTGGCCTGCAGTAAAGGGGTAACAGAAATTGAAGGGGAAACCAAACAGAGGAGGGAGAGATCCTGCTGTGGATGACAGAGGTGGCATATGGAGACTGGGGAACAGAGAGCAAAAGAGAATGCTAGAGGAGAAGAAAAAGAGGAGGATAGTGCTGAGGCTGATTAAATAAATATTATTTTTGGCACATGCTAATAACCGCAAACGAATACCCCAGCACCATCCCAAACCATTGTCTCTGAAGTGCTAAAGGTGCGGGCACTTTGAAGGATTTTTGGCATTTGTTTTTAGACACAAGTGAGATGTGGCTGTTGAACGGAAGGAGATTGCTGTCAAGTGTCAGTTCTTCTCTGCACTCTGGGTTTGGTGACTGAGCAGGGATTTGCTCTCTCTCCTCTCGAGGTGGGGACCTTGAGTTCATCACAATATTGTTGTTATGGTTAGTCAACCAGTATTTCCTCACTGTACTCTAGAGTGTGGAGGGGGTGGTACTTTACATTTAGGGCCACCTGGTGTAAAATCTAGCCATGGCTCTGCCACCCGAGCCTTGCGTGTGGCTTCAGTGACTCCCAGGTCACTAACTGTGGTTAATCCCATAAACACTTTCTCACTTATTTATTTATTTTTCCCTTTTCATTAAGGAAAGCAAAACAGGGGAAGGAGAACCTATGGCAGGAAAATGTCCGAAAGGAAGAGGAGGAGAAAAAAAAGCGATTACAGGAAGAGCGAATAAAGGAAAAAATTCAGGAAGAAAAACAAAAAGCTGAGGAGGCAGCTGCCCAAGTGAGAGAGAGGGAGTTCCAGTTGCAAAAACTGACTGAGGAGAAACATGAGGAGGAGAGGAACAAGCTAGCTGAGATTCAGAGAGAAACAGAACAACAAAGGCAGAGACAACTGGAAGAAGACAAGAGGAAGCAAGAACAAATTGCAAAAGAAGCTGAGGAGAGGCGTAAACAGCATGAAGAAGAGAAGAGAAGAAAAGATACAGCCAACCTGCAAGAGTCAGAGAAACACACTTCAAAATTAAACTTAAATGAGAAATTTGCAGACTTGTTGAAACAGACTGAGGGTAGAAATCTTAAGCCTACGTGGAGAAGTGAAGGTAAACTTCATCTATTGATTTATTTTTTGTTAAAAATGTTCCTTGTTGTCTTGAATGACTATTGTTACTTCATATTTAGACATTTTATTGTAGAATGACAGTATTGTAGGTTATGTGTTTAAAAATTGATGTTGGAGACCATGGCCCATATCCATAGTTGGTGTAAATCTATTGACGTCAATTGAGCTATAACAGTTTACACCAACATTGGATCTGACCACAAATGTTTCAATCCTTTCAGTTAACAAATCCTGGACACTTGGAGCAGTAACGTTTTGGCTTTACTGCACTTTGTCTATGCAACAGAATACTCACCACATGTTGTGGCATGAGATGTTCATAATTTCTTTTAAAACAATTTTTGATAGTCAATGAACAGGTAAGAATCCAGTAATGAGAATGAGTACAGCCTTAAAGTAACATTGGTTCATTGATTAACACTTATATAGGTATCATAACCTCAGTTACTAGATGGTGGTCAAAACTGAGGTCAGCATGGCATTATGGATAGGATATTGAAAAATGCTTAGTGTTAGCTTAATTCTGTTCCCATTTAACTTGATGGTAGTTTTACTATTGACTTAGTGGAAGCAGAATTATATAATACATTTTTTGCAAATTGTTAACCATTGTTATGGCTTTAGTGTGGCTGGTTTAGTAGTATTACTTATAGACTTAGAGAAATGTAGAGACTGAGACTATATCAAATAGAAATATGTAATATTTTGCTGTTCTGGGCTTTTAAATTTCTCCTTGACAAGAATGTCACCTGGGTTGCAGGCCACTCATTGTTGAGGTAGCCTTTTCTAATCAATTTGAAGGAAATGTAAAACTTCTATACATAAATGAAAGAAAAATTAAAACACTGATTCTGGAGAAGATATTGAACAAGAAGAGATGGGAAGGAAGACAAAGACTTCATATTTTGACTAAGCAGATCTGTGTCCACTGCTACTCCTGTTTATTACGTTAATCATAATAGTCTGGGTGATGTTCTGCTCCTTCCATCTGTTTGTTGTACCTAGTTATCTCTCACCATTCACTTAGACTGTAAGGTCTTTAGGGCAGAGACCATCCTTTTGTTATATCAGTGTATAGTGCCTAGCACAGTGGGGTCCTGAACAAGCTTGGGGCCTCTTGGCACTACTTAAATACCAAAATAATAAATACCACTAATACTTTTTCTTCTTTCAGGTAATGTAGTTAGTGCCTCAGAATCTAGGAATTCAGCTGGCTTGGTGAATTACAGAGCTTTATACTCATTCGAAGCAAGGAATAATGATGAGATGAGTTTTAATTCTGAGGATGTAATTCAGGTAAGACTGGTAGTTCATGCTAAACTAACCAGAAGAATCATTGACATATGTCTTCATCAAAATTAATGTTTTTTTTTTTTAAACACATTTTAGATCTGTTCAAATTTACACTAATTGCTTCTTTTTAGGAGGGGATAGTGGGATTGATTTAAGCAATATGCACCTCTAGGACTGAAGTGTTATAGAGAAGTCGAGGGCCAAGGACTGGTACTGACTACTATGAAATGGTCAACTTGGAAATCATTATTGCTGTTATAAACTTTATGAAATGAATAACAAGAATAAGCTAAATAATCACTGCTCTCCCATCTCTAGTGCAACATTTTGCAGGTATGCATATAAGACTGCAAAGAAAATTGCCTGTAGTAATGCGAACATAGTAAACATTGTCATAGATAAAAGTATATAAAACAAGATTATTTGTGGTGCTAGAATTATTAAATACCTGACCTACCTGGTTTGAATAGGTTTGAGGGTTTCTCCCAAATAATTAAATATCTGAATAGTGTTCTCTGTTACGTTATCTGCCTGGTTCTTCTTCGAGTAGATGCAGATGTGGTGTGTGTGTGTGCCCAGCACACTGGAGCCAGAGACTTTTGGCTAGCAGTCCCCATAGAGGGGCGGCTCTCGCACCTCATGGCTGTGGCCCCTCCCTTGGCTGTATGAGGCAGCACTGCTCCAACCCCCTCAGCTCTTTCTCACTGCCTGTGGCTGGAGTCAGAGGTTTGTGCGGTTGTAGTCTCACAACCTGACATTTAGTCTTAGCCTAGTTTAAACACTGTCCTTCCTGTTGAGAGGCGACCCCCCACACTCAGTGCTTGCTTTGCCTCGGCAAGGCCCACCTTAAAGAGTGTGTATCATTTAAAAAGAGGACTTAGTTGGTGCAGGATCTTTGTCTCAAGTAGCACCTGCTTGAACAGGCCATGTGGCCTGATCTGGTACCAAGGCCCTCCTCAGGTCAAAGATTGCCCTCAGGCTTGGAGAGTGCTGCCACCTCTTGTTCTGGGGCAGGTGCCTTGCTGAAGAGGCAGAGGAGCCGTTCTCCATTGTCGGCACAGAGGAAGAGGTCTCATAAGACCAATTGAGACTTCTCCAGGTCACAGAGCGACACTTCTGTTTCCCCCAGGAACAACACAGACTGGCATAGGACCAGTTCTGGCACGTGGGATGGTGTGGGTACGTCTGACCCTTCCCTACTACTGAGTGGGAAGGACAGAAACCCTGTACTATTGATTCTGGTTCCAGCCTTTGGGTGTCCATTGAGTCAGGTACCGACAAGGGAGATGCCAGTACTGACTGCGTCCATGTCGTCAGTCTACCAGGAAACCACATACCTCCTCTGCCTTTCGCTCCCAACCTCACTGTTGGTCCAGGACTTTCCCAGGGCTGTGCCAATCCTGGCCTCTCTGATGGAGTGAGACACTGAACCTTCGTGTCTGTTGGCACCGTGTACAGACACACTCCTCACTGTGGTGGGGATGGAGCCAGTACTGGAAATGGTGCAGGGGACCTTGGCACCCAGACCCTTTCTGGTCCCACAGCATTTGACGCTGCAACCATTGACATTGACGCAATTGGGCACTTTCGGACGACTGTTTGCACCAAGACCAACGCTGCCTGTGGCACCAGCATGCTCAGTACAGACAGGACCATGTTCATCGGGGATACCAGTTCCAACTTGGTTCTGGGCGACAAATTAATTGGACCGCCTATTGACTCCCTTGGGCATCATTCCACCCATACTGCTGAGATTTTGGGGCTCTCATTCCTAGTCAGAGTCATCATCCTCCACTCCACATCACCTGATGAACCTCAGGGGCCGCCAATGGAACAGTATGGCTCCCAGGGTTGGCGGGTACCCCATGGCTGGGAAGGAGGTCTCTGGCCTGGGCTCTACTGGCCACCAGTGCTGTACCTGTATCAGTGACCTTGAACTCAGTGGGAGGTTCCTTATTAGCAGAGATCCCGCTTTTCATCACATTCAAAGCCAAAGTCACTTGCATGGTCGACGGTGGCTTCAGATCAACTGCAAGCCCAAGCATCAGTCTGCTCTCTCCTGGGTACATCTTCCCAGGAGTGAAAGCCAGTTTTGGCTCAGCTGAGACCTTGTCGCCGGACAATGCCATGCTAAATGGTTCATCCTCACCTTCTATTCTGGACAACTTTAAGGTGTACCAGGACTTCTTATGCCATATACCTGCATCATTGGGCATCCAGGCAGAGTTCCTCCAAGAGAACACACACACACTCCCTGAGGGAGTGGCCATCCTGGTCAGTGATGCGATCCTTGAGTCAGTGAGAGCCCTGTGGAGTACATCAGCCTTGGGATCGCCAGGGGCTAAGTGCATGGAAAAGCGCTTCTTTGTTCCCATGGATGGATTTGAGGGGTTCTTTTCCCACCTGGCCCCGAATTCCCTGGACGTAACAGCGGTAAACAACGCCCCAGGAGGGTTGGTTCAAGTCTACCCCCAAGGACAGAGACTCCAAGCAATTAGATGTTCTGAGCAGGAAGTTCTATACCTCATCGTCCTTACAGTTTAAGATCACAAATGAACAAAGTTTGGTGGCCAAATATGATTTTCGCAGTTGGTCAGCCATGGCTAAATTTGAGGACCAGCTGCCCGAGGTCTTGTGTGAGGAGTTCTGAGCAAAAAAGAAGCTTACAAGAAGTGGAAGATTGGACAAATGACTAGGGAGGAGTATAAAAATATTGCTCAGGCATGCAGGAGTGAAATCAGGAAGGCCAAATCACACTTGGAGTTGCAACTAGCAAGAGATGTTGAGAGTAACAAGAAGGGTTTCTTCAGGTATGTTAGCAACAAGAAGAAAGTCAAGGAAAGTATGGGCCCCTTACTGAATGAGGGAGGCAACCTAGTGACCGAGGATGTGGAAAAAGCTAATGTACTCAATGCTTTTTTTGCCTCTGTCTTCACAAACAAGGTCAGCTCCCAGACTGCTGCATTGGGCAGCACAATATGGGGAGAAGGTGACCAGCCCTCTGTGGAGAAAGAAGTGGTTCGGGACTATTTAGAAAAACTGGACGTGCACAAGTCCATGGGGCCAGATGCGCTGCATCCGAGGGTGCTAAAGGAGTTGGCGGATGAGATTGCAGAGCCATTAGCCATTATTTTTGAAAACTCATGGCGATCGGGGGAGGTCCCAGATGACTGGAAAAAGGCTAATGTAGTGCCCATCTTTAAAAAA